TCACATTGGTTGACTTTATGTTGCCATGTGTGAATTTTGGACCACCCTCGGAGTGAATGAATGCTATTCCCTTTGCAGCTTCAAGTGAAATCTTCACTCTGGAATCCCAATCTAATGGAGTTCTTCCTGCACCCCTGTTTCCTATTGTTTGGATTGGAATAGACGAGTTAGGCAAAGATATAGCACTGTCACAATTGAAGTTGGTAACTGCAAGTGCCAGTTTTAGATCCAAGAGTAACTTAAGCATGTAATTAAACAGAATTTTGAAAATGTTCAATCTGTTTACAAGCGCACTTTCTGAAGAGCTGCAAAGACAAACATGCATTGAACTATTTAAACATCAAGAGTCAACGCATTTATACTTTTTTTGAGTGAAGTCAATGCATAGAGATAGAGTAGTCTGCAAGTAAAATATAATCACAGAAGCGTGATTTTTTTAGTGACTATCTAACCATAATCACCCATGACATCGTGGAAACAAGTTGGTTTTAGGATCAATGTCAGTTTCAGTTACTATTTGAATCTAGTGATTGATAGTTTGTAAAGATGATTTATCATAGCATAGCTAAAACTGAGAGGCTCAAGTAGAAATCATAAAACATGTTACTTTTGAACAAAACTAGAAGTTTCTCATCTTTGGAATAGTAATAAGCTCTAAGGGGCATGACATTGGGATGGTGTCCAATTCTTCCCACAATCTCCAAATGCTGCTCAAACTCCTTCTTTCCAACCACAACTTCCTTCAACCTTCTAACTACCACTGTTGTTCCTCCCTCCAAAACAGCCCTGTATGCTGTTCCATAGCTCCCTTTTCCTAGAACTTCAGCTGAAGCCTTTAGCAAATCCTCAAGGTCAAAGCTATAAGAGGAACCTTCAAAGAAAAGCAACTTGTTCTTTTCAGCCCCTTGCACACCACTCCCAAAACTCTTTGAAACCTCAGGCTTTCCAGCACAAGAAGCCTTTCCTTTCAGTATGCCACCGCTTTTAATGTTTTTCTTCCTCTTCAAACAGCACGCAGAGATTATTACAACTAGTAGAGAGAGGAAGGCAATGCTCCCAATGACGAGTGCAAGGATAGTAGCTAGGCCAAAGCTTTTCTTATGTGTGGTAGCTTTTTGGTTTTGAGTGGTTTATGGAGTACTCGGCTGGTAATCAGAAGAAGGAGAGGGAGAAGGGGAGATTGTAGAGCAATGATTGAGAGGTGAACCGCATAAGGGAGAGTTTCTAACAAAAGAAGTAGAAGGGAATGTCTTGATGGAACTTGGAATTGAGCCATTCAAGTTATTATAGCTCAAATTCAAATATTTAAGACTTGGAAGGTTAAAGTCAGGAATAAATCCTGATATGGAGTTGTTTTGGAGGTACAACCACGTGAGTCTTCTAAGGTTCTGAAATGTAGGTGGGATATTGCCAGAAAAGGAGTTAAAGGAAATATCCAATGCAATGAGTTTAGGGGACACAGGAGAAGGAATTAGGCCACAGAAGTTATTGTGCTGTAGGTGTGCAAATTGGAGTGAAGGAATGGAAAGGATGTCAGAAGGAAGATTTCCTTTTAAGGCCATTGGAATGAAGACTCAGGACCCTTAGAGCATCTAGTTTTCCTATGCTGTTCTCTGGAATGGACCCAGTTAATCCCATTCCTGGAAGCTGGAGGCCTATGACACGTGTGCCATTTGAGTTGCAAGTCACCCCAAGCCATGAGGTACATATTGAAGAAGAGTCATTCCAGTTGAGCCTTGGTGCATGTGGGACAGAAGAAGCAAAGTTCAAGAGAGCTTTTTGGTCAGAGTTCAAGTCAGCTACACTCAAGCCAAAGAGAGACAGGGTGGAGCTTAACAGAACAAGAGCAACAATTGATAACTGCAACTTCATGGGTCTTGTTCGATGCAAAATCAAGACTAGGTATTGTTCCCGGTTCTGAGCTTAACTGTTCTTCATCTTTTCCTGATTGGCTTTAGAAATTAAAGCAAATTGTTAGCTGGTCATATAGCTAGGAAAGTAGGACATATACAAATCTCAAATTGGCTATTTTTATTCTGGTAAATGGAACGATTTGGGGTGAGCATGATTGCATGAATTTGTCTAGAATCAGCCATATTTTGAACTTTTTAAGTGAAACAGCATAGAAACATGAAGTGATGGTTTTGATTAGTTTACAGGATGAAAAGGGTAGGAAGAGCAGATTATGAATTTAGAAATTGTACAAGATTGAATTCAAATATTTTTAACCAACTTCTTTCTCTTAAAATTTGAAATCTTAGTACGAAAAATTTTCTGTTTATGCAGAAGAAATCACTTATTGCTCAGCTTTTGAATAGAACCAAAAAAATAAAATAAAATAACAGGCTCGTTCATGCTTACCAGTTAGTAGGAAAGGGACTTCCTTCTTTCAGATGCATCAGTTGAGGCATTTTCTTTCTTTCAACACTTGAAGTGTTATGCTGACTCCCCCATTTAAAAAGAAAAAGTAAAAAGCCAAAGGCTTGCCTGTGAACTTTAAATAGTGGGGGACTAAAGTGCACTTTTCACTGAGAATAAAGAAATTTCTTCACAAACCGGTGCTTATAAGTTTCAGAAGCAACCAAGAAGGGAGAACGAAAAAAAAAACAAAGGCTATTGTGATAATTGAGAATCCAAAAAAAAGAAAAAGCTAAAGTTTGATTCTCCATTGTACTTCATAAAGAAAAAGCATTCTTTCCCTAAAGTAGCCTCATTCTCATAATTTAAAAAAGGTCAACATAAATCATTGGTGTTGATTTCTCAATTTTGCCACCTGATCTGGGTCAGTGAATACTGCAGAAAAGTCATTTTGAAGTACAGAAAACTACTTGGTGAACCAGATTTAGACAAGTACAAGAACAAAACATAATTAAAGGGTCAAGTATTGCATTTAACAACTCAAAGCTAGCGTACCACCAGCATTTCAACAAAAACTACTTGCTGATTACTTCACTGAAAGCAAGCAAAACAAAAGATTTGTCCCTTATCCCAATTAAAGAAAACAATATAAAAATAATAAAGTCATGAGAGAAGGAATCGAAGAAATAACAGATCAGACTAGAAAAACTCTCCAATTGTAAGACATATAACCAGAAGGAGACTCAAACTTTTATAGGATCCGGATCCAAAAAAAGTTATTGTGATCCAAAATTATGTGCAACAGATGTAACCAGAATGGACAAGCTTCCCAAGAAACACCTTATTTTCCTATTTTTAGTCATGGAAAATGAATATAGTAAGTGTTCCAAGTTAGCAATTGCAAGTAAAATTGGAATTTGAAGGAAGTGAGAGATATTACCTCAATATGAAATTCAGTTCTGGGATACCAAAAACACATCATAGAGTGAAGTGTCAACAACAACAACCAAGCCTAATTTCACTAGGTGAAAAAGAATGATGCATCACTGCACATAAATGTGTAAGGGAATATAAAGGTCAAGAAGAATTTAGTAAAGCACAATATGAAATTGAGCAACAGGAGTTGACTATTTGTGAACACAAATATAGTATGACTTGAAACTTTAGAATTGAGATACTTACTGCTACTCAGCACAGTTGAAGTTGGTGGTGGTATCAGGCTTAGCATTACAATTTTACAAAACAATAAGAATATGACTTCTCTTGTGAAGAGATTCACACACATCAAAAAAGAGATTGTCAACTGAATATCTCTTGATGAAAAAACCATATATTTTCCTTCTTAACTACTATGACAGCAATAATGAGGGAGTTTACCAGCTAAGCCTTTTATCTAACTAACTATGGTACTAATACATTAATGTCCATCTGCTGCCGTGGAAAATAGCTCAACATAAAAGGAGCACTGCATGGATTGTGTATATCTAATTGTATAAAATGAAGTACTAAGAGTACAGCAACATGAATAAGGATTTCCTGACACATCTTTGAGAAGACTACTGAGGGACTGAGATTTTAACTTTTACATTTCTATTTATAGTAAAAACTTTCAGAGTAATCCAACTCCTTCAGCTATAGGGGACAACCATTTTTTTAGCAAAGGGTATGAGCCAATACTCTTTTTCAAAACTAGCATGAATCCAATGGTTCTTATGGGGTTGGAAACCTTTCATGAAGGAGAAATGAGTAATGACAGATTCAAAAAGAGGAAAATGATTGACATAATTGCTTGTTTTGAATTCATGTTCAACATCAAAATCCACCATAATGGCCCCCATGAGGATTAAAACAAAAGGTCACCATGGTGGGCACTTCAGTATTGCAAATCCTATAAAGCATAATCTGGAATTAATGAACGAATGAACTAAGCTACCAGCCTATGTTAAACATTTCTAAATTCTAGTAAAACAAAACAACATACGATGGTAGAATTCTCAAGTAGGATCTCAATTTTTATTTATACTTGGAAAGAGTAAACATCAAGTCAGTTATACAAATCATTCTCGAGCAGTTCGATTTATCTGGGCCTGGAGATCAAATGTTGCTCACATGATAGCTTGACATACTCCATACGCCATTTGATCTTCAATGCTAACTTCAGCTGTGTAAAGACATTGAACAAAAGCCAGCATTGTTTCATGTGATAGATGAGATATCATGACGTGGGCACCCTCTTCTCCCATCTCATATGAGATATCATGACGGGACACTCTCCATCAGTGTTGCATAAGAGATATATCATGTTTTCAAATATGAATTTGAAGAATGGAGACCTGTTGCACTGTGTATGACATACAATATTATTAATTTCATTAAAAACAACATAAAATTTAATTAAATTAACAATTAATGTATCTGTGAATAACAATTAACAGCGTAAAAGGAAAAAGGAGAATGACACCACTAGATTGGGATTAGACCATTGAAGTGAAGGAAGGACGGACAATCTTAGTGATTCTAGGGAAGGTGCTGCGATTAAAGGACCTGGTTCAAAACTTAGTTCACTCGCTGAGTATCTTTGCATCCATGGCTAATGGTATGTATATGAGTTTTTTTAACAAAGTGACACCAAATTGAAGGAGTTTGATTTCTTCACCGAGAAGATGTATAGCATTTTTTATATCAGAGTAACAGTTTATGCAACTTCCTAAGTGGATGTGGATGATCTAGTAAAAGCATGACAAGAGAGGCTTTTTGTACTGTACCATAGAATTGGCTCTTACAGAATCCGAAATAACCATTGCACGGAGGAATCAGCGTTTATCCCTTCCCACTGTGAGGGAAGGTTGGATTCATATATGCACTGATAACACTGATGCCAACTATTCTTTAATATAAAATAACTTCCCCTTTAGATGCAGAGAATGCAAGCTCCTATCGAATAGGCAAGAAGGAGGGGAAGGGACTTGCAAGAGCTTAGATCCGTATCCTCATCACATCGTCGTCTTCGTCGTCGCTATCGCTTTCCCCACGCCTCATCGCCTGGTGGTCAACTTTGCAAGAGAAATAAGCTGTTATCCCAGGCCTCTGAAACTGCATTCCTGTGGAGACATTTTGAACTTGATTCGATAGATTTATGTTTAACCGTGCAATCGGAATCATGGATATGTCTGAGGAATGAATACTAGGTCTTCCATATGTTGCTTGAGGATATTCTTCTCTTCGTTTACTTCAGCATAACAATCTTTACAAATTCCGGCGTCATATTCTTTATTACAAGAGAGACACCGCATCTTGTCTAATGGAGTCCCACTTTCTCTCGAATGGCTTTTCGACTAATGGAGGGAAGGTGCTCTAATGGAGTCCCACTTTTCCTAGAATTTTAACACTTCCTTTTAATACAAAAATATATATATCAGTGCCTCTTCTGCTAATATATATAACACTTCTTTTTATACTACATATTTTTCTATGAAAAATGTTAATTTTAGTTTAATCTTAAGCAATTAAGACTTTTTTAAATTGATTTTTTAGTTCGTAATATTTTTTTAATTAAATTTTTGTTTTAAATATATTTTTTAAAAATAAATTTTTTTATTAATTTAAATGTATATTGTACGTGAATGCACTACTTAATATCTTATTGTATATTTTATTTAAACTTTATTATATCATTAACAAAAAATTTTAGTTTAATCTTAAGCAATTAAGGCTTTGTTAAGGCTTTTTTTAAATTGATTTTTTAGTTCATAATAATTTTTAATTAAATTTGTGTTTTAAATATACTTTTTAAAAATAAATTTTTTTATTAACTTAAATTTATATTGTACGTGAATGCACTACTTAAGATTCTATTGTATATCTTATTTAAACTTTATTATATCATTAACAAAAAAATTTATAATTATGTTTTATGATTAATTTTTTTATTAATATGAATTCATATAATTAAAACTACATATTTAAAGCAATATTTTTTTTAAAATATAATTATTACATTAAAGATATAAAAATATAAAAAGTATTTTTAAATTAGTTATTATTACTATTTTATATTTATTTATTTTGTAAAATATTATAACATAATTTTTCTTTTATTTAATTTTATTAATATTTATTTAATAAATATTAAATATTATAACATAATTTTTAAATTAGTTATTAGTACTATTTTATATTTATTTATTTTGTAAAATATTATAACATAATTTTTCTTTTATTTTATTTTATTAATATTTATTTTTATAAGTTTTGATTTAAACTTCTATCATTAATTCTTTTTTGTTAAAAATAATAATAAATATTTAATAAATATTTAACTAAAATATTTTTAAATTGCACTAGTTAATTTAATTTAATAATTCAGTATATTATATTAATTTTACCTTACAAATTAAATTTATAAATGTAGTGAAAATTAATTTTGTCTTAAAAATTAAATTTAATATTAATTTAACATAAAAATAAATTTAAATCTAATTTAAGTAAAATATTAAACTTAAAACCAGTTTTAACTAGATGTAAAAAAAATTTAAACTAATTTTTAAAAAATTAAATTAAATAATTTAAAATTTAAATATAGAGTTAAATTAAAATTGATTTGAATCTAATTCATATAAAATCTTAACATTAATGTTTAAAATTATCCCGACAATAAAATAATGACCCAAGAGAAGGAGAGAATTTATCATTGAAAATAAATATTAAATTATATTTTCTAAATAATTTTAATTGCGTTAAATAATATCATTGATAGTGAATATTAAATGATGAGATGTTTTAAATTATCTTATTTGAATTAAAACTAAGATGTTTAGGTTCCATGCGGAAGAAAATTAACAAAAAAAATTGATTGTAACACTTTAAAATTAAAAAACTGAATTCAAACAAAAAATTACTAAGAGACAAACTTGGTTATTAATTTTTATAAAAGGAAAAATAATTAATTTTATATTCAATTATTTTCTAATTATTTTTATTTATTATACTATCCAACAAATATCATCCAAGTCCACTGATTATATTCACATAATCACATTTGGTGGGTTATGCATTAGCAATAGATTATGGAGATATAACTATGTCTCGTATATTTATGTTTCACACGTTATCAGTCATTAGTAGAAAAGTACATTCGTAAATGAAGAAATTTCTAATCTCTGACCAAGCCTATTAATATGAGACTCAAAAATTCTTTATTCTGAAGAGGGCTGATAGGATTTACTTTACTCGTTCAAAGGCTAATCTAATATAGGTAGGTCCAGAGCTAGCTAGTGTTCAGAAGTCACTTAAGAGATGGAATATGGGTCCTATTAGAATAGGCCGTAGCCGCAAAGAGATAGAGCATCGCCTTCGTTGATTTCCCACGAAGGAATCGTAATCTCAGTACAATGGTACAAAGCAAAAAAGAAAAGATATAGTTTTGATTTCAGCTATTATGCTTCTGACCACAACTAATTAGAGAAATGCCATGGGCCAATTTTATTCTTAAATGAAATAATTAATTATGATCAGGATGGTAATTAAATTTTATTTTATTATCAATAAACACATGAAATATATATCATAATAATTAGTTAGAAGTTTGGGTAATATATGAGTGTATTTTATAAAAAATAATTATTTACAAACTTTTTAACAAAATATCACTTATAAATAGTTAATGTGAATAGTGTTTATAATATATTTTTAAAAAATGTGTAATATATAATCTATCTATAATAGGACCGAGGAATGTGTGTGTTTATATATGTCTAACTAGACACACTCAGCAGACAGGATATTGAAACAGATTATAATGTCAGATAAAAGCAGTGACAAAATATATATGAACTACTTTTTTTATACCCAAAATCCTGTATCCTACGTTATCTATGTTCATGAATTTGTGTGTGGAAAGAGAGAGGATTCAAATCCCATCTTTTCTTTTCATATACAAATGCAAAAGTGTAAGAATAACGTGCACGATTTTGGGTGCCAAAAAATCATTTTTCATATCTAACAAATGAAGTTAATTGCATTCTTGATCTGAAACATATATAGTAAAGTTTGGTTCACGGCGTGTAACTATATCCTTAAGAATAGTTAATAGTGTTCTTAAAAGTGTTATTTTTAAATAAACTTAAAAATGCATTTAGTTATAATTTAATATTTTTTGGAATATTTTAAAAGAATTAAGTAACAAAAGAAAATGTTAAAATGATGAGAATTAAAGTTCTTAATTAAAATACATAATCATTTTTTTCTCTTTGCAGGTAACGCGATTCTTATTATAATTCCACGTGAGATACCACTTTTTACTCAACTTCTGAACAATTTTGCACATGTACTTCTTTATATTAATGTTATGTCAGTAATGTATATTCTTATGTATAAAAGTTTTGCAAATATATCATTTAAAAGAATTTTTTTCACATTAATTTTGATAATTGATTTTAAACATGCAAAAGTAATGTAATTTTATTTAGTTAAGCATTTATTATATAAAAATATAACAATTTTTTTAAAATAAAAATTATTATTTTTATATATTTAAATTAGATTATAGATTAATATTAAAATTAAATTAAATGTATTTTAAAATTATATTATTAAGTTAAAATTATATAAAAATACCTAATTCAATTTTTTTTGTTCTTTAGTTCATTTATTGATATTATATATATATATATATATATATATATATATCTATATATATATATATATTTATGAGTGTAAAAATATATATAAAAATAACAGAAGTCGTGAAAATGAGTTAAATGTTTCCTTGATAAAATGTTAAAAAGAAAAAACATGTTCATTAAATGATCGATTATTTAAGTTGAATTTGACAAATTAATTAATTAAAATCTATTTATATAATAATAACAGTGAAAATTGAAAAGACTTTAATCCAATTTTAGTTGCTTAATTAAATTAAAACATATTTTAAACAATGAAGATCTAGTCATTATAATCACAACTACGTACATCACCAGTTTTATATCATGCTTTGTTATTTATCTACAATTTGAATGGCCAGATTACAATTATATAGTCGTCACTTTTGTCACCATATTATAATTGTCATCACAGCTATGATCTGCATTAAGCTTGTATAAATTTTTCATTTTAACAAATTAAGTTTATTAAAAGAATGGATTAGATTTGAAATACGGTTTTTACTGTACTACTAAACATACTCAGACCACAGCACATTCAATTTCACAATTTCCAAAGTAGAAGACCCATTCAATTTCCAAATCCTCGTATTCTTTATTCTACGAAATTAGGATTTGTTATTTCACAATTTTATCCCATTATATATTTATTTTTAATTTCTTCTTGAATTCTTTTAGAGTATATGTGTATCGAGAAGTTAAAAAATCAATAAGTTAATGAGATGTTTAAGATTTAAGGGAAAAAATGTTTGTAGTCTCCAATTATTATTATTTTTTTGTTAGTTAAATCACTAAAAATTTATGTCATGTGTGATGCTGTATATCAATGCAAAACCTTTTTTTTTAACATGCATCTCAAAAAAAAAATCCGTCTTAAATAAAAGAGGACACTTTTAATTATTCATTTTGAAGGTCAATAAAATATTTTTCTTCTTTTTGTTTTTGGATAAGTTATTTTCACTTTCAATAAATGTTTTTTTTTTTTCCATTTGGAGCAAGCTTGTTCCAAAG